TCTTTCAGTAAGGATTGTAATATTTTGTGAATCATTGTGGTGTACTCTTGGATGAGAAGTGTTATATTAAGAAAAATAGTTCTGAGGCTTTTTATGGGGAAATTACGGGTTTTACTTCCTGAAAATAAACATCTGAATGATATTCGATGGAATGAAAGGAAAGAGTATAAGGTTACAGAGGTTTACACTATGTTTTAATAGCTTTTTAAAAAATACTTTCTCTTACATTTTTGTTCAGTTGCACAATGTATATCAAACTAACCACAGCCATGTGGGGCTGCTACTCACAAACTGTCATCCTGCAAGTCCAAATACAGAAGAAGCAAAAATTATAATTGGCCCAAATGCTGTATTTCCAGTAAAATATAAAATAGGGCATTTCTAATTTCTTCTAAGCTTAGTAACCAGCACAACCACATTAGTCATGTATCAATGACTTTTTTTTGCAGTCATCCTAGTGCACTACCATTAAAATGATCTCTTCTGAAAATAACTTCTATAGTTATCTTAATTTTGTTAGACAAACAGAATTTTTATTTCATTTTAGTATAGTATTAACAAGAGTACCAAACACATCAAAAGATGATGGCCATATTTTCTTGTTTTATGTGTTATGTTAATAAATGACTCATTTAAAAAATGAAAATAAGTGTTTTATGATTTATTGTTATCCTTAAATCATAGCAGGTGTAGATACTTTATGTATTTCTAAAACTTGACAGGATACTACTCTTTTTGCCCGACTGACTAAAATATATACTATTTTGTGATATAAATATATAATACTAGACAGCTAATTTGAACTATGAACAAGAATGTGTAAAAGTTTAAACAGCTTTTTTAATGACATAATTTGATTACACATGATTTTAGATTTCAGAAATAATCACTTATGTTATTTTGCTTTATTGGTTTTAGATCTTGCTGTATTTTTAAAAAAGAAATGAAATGATTATTGATACAAAGAAAACCCTACCCACATCCCTCCTTTTTCTTCTTCTCTGATAACCACTACTGAATTTGGTGTGGGTCTTTCCCTAGTACCCATTGAAAAACAATAATATAGGAGTTAAGAAGACATTACTGAGGCGATAGTGAGGGTATGGGAATCCTCGGCAAGGTTTTCCTTTTAACGAAAAGCAGACCCCAAATCATTTTCTTTTCTAACAAAGAGCAGGCTGTAAAATCGAGCTGCAGACATAGACAAACAGGCTGGAAGCTCACACCAGTGAATGCCAGCAGTTGTGCCAGTAGGAAAGGCTACCTCGGAGTAGGCACCTTCAAAATGACTGCTCCATCTTCTCTCTTCTACCAGCCACGTGTACAGTGTGCAGCAGACAAGATGGGGCTGGCCAAATAGAAAGTCCATTTGCATAACAAGATTAGGGTGGGGTGGCAGGGCGCAGTGGCTCACGGCTGTAGGAGTTTGAGACCAGCCCTGCCAACATGATGAAATCCCATTTCTACTAAAAATACAAAATTAGCCGAGTGTGGTGGTGTGCCCCTGTAATCCAGCTACGTGGGAGGCCGAGGCAGGAAAATTGCTTGAAACCAGGAGGAGAAGTTTGCAGTGAGCCGAGATTGTACCATTGCACTCCAGCCTGAACAAGAGTGAAACTGTCTTAAAAAAAAAAAGGATTAGGGTGGTGCAACGAGCCCTTTCTTGCCCATCATGTAAATGTCATACTTGATCGAACCAATCTGTGGGCTCTATGTTTATCAGGCATTGCCTCAAGACTGCCTATAAAATCTGGCACAATCCACTTCAGGCTGGCTGTTTCCTTTGGGAGGCCCCTCTCTTGAAAGAGAGAGAAAGAGAGAGAGAGAGAGAGCGCGCGAGCGAGCGCGCAAGCACACGCTCTGCAGACGAGCCAGTTCTGTTGCTGTGGCTGGTTTGAGCTGCTGCCATCAACACACTTAGCTAATCACCATATATAGTACTGATTTTCTTGATATCTTTGAGATTTTTATCTATTGAGAAACTTGACATATGGTTTGTTTTTAATATTACATAGGTGTGTGAGAAAAATGTGGTTTTGCTGATTAGTGGGTACATGTCTACACAGATATTCTTTGACTCACACTTGTTAAGTGTGTTTAAATTGTTCAAGGCTTTCTATTGCTTGATTTTTTTAATTACTGAGAGATGCGTTAAAATCTATCACTGTGGTTGTAATCTTAGTTTCTTCGTATAAGTCTGTTGACTATTGCTTTATGTATTTGAAGGACACGTTATTGGGCATATTTAAGTTCAGTCTTATATTTTCATGTGCAGTTTTCTTTTATCATTTTCTTGAAGAAACTGTTTCTTATGAGAGTTTCTTTACCTTGTATCTGTTTTTCTCTAGTGCTTACATAATCTTACCTCTTTGTAGTTCACGTGTGCTGTTTGATCTCCACCTTTCACTTTCAACTTTTTTTTAAATTAAGTTTTCAGTCTTTTTCTTAAAATCTAGCCTGTTTCTTGTAGATGCTGAATATTAGACCTTTGTTAGATGCATAATTTGGAAATATTTTCTCCCATTCTGTAGGTCATCTGTTTACCCTGTTTATACTTTCTTTTTTTTTTTTTTTTTTTTTGAGACGGAGTTTCGCTCTTGTTACCCAGGCTGGAGTGCAATGGCGCGATCTCGGCTCACCGCAACCTCCGCCTCCTGGGTTCAGGCAATTCTCCTGTCTCGGCCTCCTGAGTAGCTGGGATTACAGGCACGCGCCACCACGCCCAGCTAATTTTTTGTATTTTTAGTAGAGACGGGGTTTCACCATGTTGACCAGGATGGTCTCGATCTCTAGACCTCGTGATCCACCCGCCTCGGCCTCCCAAAGTGCTGGGATTACAGGCTTGAGCCACCGCGCCCGGCCCTGTTTATACTTTCTTTTGCTGTGCAGAAGCCCTAAAGTTTAGTTAGATCTCACTTGTCAATTTTTTGCTTTTGTTGCGATTGCTTTTGATGTCTTTGTCATGAAATCTTTGCCAGTTCCTGTGTCCAGGATGGTATTGCCTAGGTTGTCTTCCAGGGTTTTTATAGTTTTGGGTTTTACATTTAAGTCTTTAATCCATCTTAAGTTGATTTTTGTGTATGGTGTAAGGAAGGTGTCCAATTTCAATCTTCTGCACAAGGTTAGTCAGTTATCCCAGCACCATTTATTGAACAGGGAGTCCATTCCCCATTGCTTGTTTTTGTCAGTCCTGTTGAAGATCAGATGGTTGTAGGTATGTGGCTTTATTATCAATACTATGCTATTTTGAGCTAAATGATGAGAACTCATGAACCAAAGAAGGGAACAACAGACACTGAGGTCTGCTTGAGGCTGGAGGATGGGAGCAGGGAGAGGAGCAGGAAAAATAGTTATTGGTACCAGGCTTAGTATTTGGGTGGTGATATAATCTGTACAACAAACCCCTGTGACACAAGTTTACCTATATAACAAACCTGAACATGTGCCCCTGAACCTAAAATAAAAGTGAAATAATAATAATGATAATAATGAAATCCAGCCTAATATTGTTGAGTTTAGTCTGTTTGAAATTATGATTATTCATATATTCAATATCATTTGTGCTTTCTCTTACACATTTTTTATTTCTTTGCTTTCTCCTTGTCATGAATTTTCTTTGGTTCTTTATTTCTTCTTTCTTACCCTCTACTGGATTGAACACATTTTTAAAAAGTTTACCTTTACTGTTGAAAGGTTTGGCCATTACGTATTATTTCCGTTCTGTTGAGGTTTTTACTCTTTAGCCTCCGGTAGCCACTGTGTAAGGTGTTGTCGGTGCCGCCGCCTTGTCTGTCTTCGTTAGACTAAGTCTACGTTTTCTTTTTTTTATGCTGAGTATCTCTTATAACACCAGCATTCAGTAGATGATCTGTAAATATTTGTTAAATGCCTGCTGAATTATTAGTGTCAATTATTATTATTTTAAAATATGTATTACAGCTTTTTTTTTTTTTTTTTTTTTTTTTTGAGACAGAGTCTCACTCTTTTGCCCAAGCTGGAGTGCAGTGGTGTGATCTTGCCTCACTGCAACCTTTGCCTCCTGTGTTGAAGCAATTGTTCTGCCTCAGCCTCCTAAAGTAGCCGGGATTATAGGCATGCACCACTACATCTGGCTAATTTTTTGTATTTTTATAGAGATGGGGTTTCACCATGTTGGCCAGGCTGGTCTCAAACTCCTGACTTCAGGTGATCTGCCCACCTCAGCTTCCCAAAGTGCTGGGATTACAGGCGTGAGCCACTGCACCTGGCCTTGAATTATTATTAATTTGTTATTATTGAACTTAGTAAGCTTTTATTTTCTGTTTGCAAATGAAGGATGATGTCTAAGCACATTTTAAGCATCAATGGTTTGGATATCCTTCATGAAATTTGTCTTAATATTTTGAATATTCTTGACCCAAGAGGATGGAAATCATTATTTCTCATGAAGTTTTTAGGTAATGTTTTGTGCCAAATGGTTCTGTAGATGGAGTCAGTTCCACTTAGTTTGGATAGCAGCACAGGGAAAGGGGAGCAAGTCAGAGCCAGGGCTGGGACTTGAGGCCCGGAGGGAGCTCACCTGCCTCACCATTGCAGGAGCCTGCTCGGTGTATCTTAGGGGTTGATAATTGGTAGATTAATAAGTCACCTTCACTTTAAATGCCTTGTTGAGAGGCATGTTTCAGATGATTTACTGAACATGGCTTATGGCCTATATTCTAAACATAAATTGTGGCGTGTTACTCTCTTGGTCTTTTGGTCTTTGACTATTTTGTACTTCCGTACCTCTCAGTGGCATTACACATAAAAAGAACATATATCAGTAATTCTCTAGGTCAAAATATACCCTCATTAACTATTTTATGTACAAGTTTTTGCAGTCCAATTCTGAAATTGTTATAAATAAGAAATAGTTGTGTTAATATCTTACTTGAGAATCAGCAATTATGAGGTGTCATTAGCATAATGCTTATTAATTCAACCTTTGAAAATACATCTTGATTTCCCCCTTACAATTATAGGGTTCATCATTTACGACCCAACAGCCTCAGGCTTATAACCTTTTCCTGACCACGGCCATTGGCGATGGGATGAGACTGTGGGACCTGAGAACTCTGAGGTAAGGCTGCTGTGTGCCCTGCAGTGCAGAGGTGGGGAGCTCAAGAGCTCTAAGTGCAATCGGCTCTTTTCCGAATGTAATGAGGTTGTGGTTATTCTGTGCACACTGACTAATCTAAGGGTGATTTATGCACAGAAGAGGTAGCTCTACCTTTGGAATGGTGAAGCACTAGTTGGTCTTTCTGCCACATGTGGCTTAGGAGAGTAATCGCAGGCCTCTCCTGAGCATCAGTGATGTTGACGGAGGCATTGGTTGGAAGCTCCTAAACCACAGTTACCCCTGTGGTGTGATGACTGCCCTCTCTCCCAAGCGTGTTCCCATCTCTGTTGGGTGCCGCCCATCAGGCGCCGAGCACCCCTGTAACGCAGGACCAGTGGTACCTAACTCTACTTTTCCTGCTTCTCACGTCACAGTTGGGAGGGCATTTCCTTAGTTATACTATCATTAAGTAAATTACTTCTCATTTCACATCATGCATATTTTAGATGCTTTAGTAGACTTTGAGAATGCCTTTTACAAAAAAGTTAGAAACCACCTTAGTTTTATCAGGAAAATATTTGCAAATCTTTTAGGATAGGAATTCTTAACCTTGTTATTGTCATTGTACCATTGAAAATTTGGCAATAAACTCTTCTGGACACTTTTTAAGAAGACTGTTAAATGCATAAAATGAAATATATAGGATTATGAAGGAAACCAGTTATATTGACATGTAATTATTGACATTTAAAAAGTCATGATATAACAAGATTTGTTGTTTATTGTTGAATGCAATAATAAAACTTATGGCAGGTTTGTTGACAATTGTGATTTCAAATTAGTGATGAGAATCTGTATGAGCAGTCATGTTGCACATGATGACGTCTTGATCAATGCCTGACCATATCACATTGCTGGTGGCGTAAGGTTATGATGGAGCTGAAAAATTCTTTTTGTTTATTAATTTACTTACTACTTTTTATCATGATTTTAGAGTAAATTTCTTCTACTTATAAAAAAAGTTAACTGTAAAGCAGCCTCAGGCAGTTCCTGCAGGAGGTGTCCAGAAGAAGCCTTTTTTTTTTTTTTAAGGCAGCGTCGTGCTCTGTCATCCAGGCTGGAGTGCAGTGGCACGATCTCAGCTCACTGCAACCTCCACTCCCCACCACCCACCACTGGGTTCAAGTGTTTCTCTTGCCTCAGCCTCCTGAGTTTACAGGCAAGTGCCACCATGCCCAGCCAATTTCTTATTTGTTTGTTGGTTTGAGATGGAATCTCACTCTATCACCCAAGCTGGAGTACAATGGTGCAGTCTTGGCTCACTACAACCTCTGCCTCCAGGGTTCAGCCATTCTCCTGCCTCAACCTCCCAAGTAGCTGGGACTACAGACATGTACCACCACCATGCCTGGCTAATTTTTGTGTTTTTAGTAGAGACAGGTTTTCACCATGTTGCCTAGGTTTGTCTTGAACTCCTGACCTCAAGTGATCCACCTACCTTGGCCTCCCAAATTGTTGGGATTACAGGTGTGAGCCATCATGCCCAGCCACGACATTGTTATCACAGGAGGTTATGGCCCTGTGTATCACTGCCCCTGGAGATTTTCCAGTAGGACAAGATGTGGATGGGGAAGACGATGATGTTGATGATCCTGACTCCATGTAGGCCTAGGCTACAGTGTGTGTTTTTGTCTTAGTTTTTAACAAAAGGTTTAAAAAGTAAGAAAAAGTTCAAAATAGAAGAAAGCATGTAGAGTAAGAATATAAAGAAATAAAATATTTTTGTACAGCTGTGCAATGCATTTGTGTTTTGAGCTAAGTGACATTAGCATAGAGTTTTTAAAAAGTATATAAACTAAAAAAGTTACAGTAAACTAATGTTTGTTATTGAGCAAATAAAAATATTTTAAAATAAATTTTGTGTAGCCTAAGTGTCTAGTGTTTATAAAGTCTGCAGCAGTGACGGTCATGCCCAGGATCTTCACATTCACTCACCTCTTGCTCAGTGACCTGCTAAGGGCAGCCTCCAGTCTTGCAGGCTCCAGTCATGGCAAGGACCCTATACAGGTGCACCCTTTTTAATCTTTTATTTAATTTTTTTTTTAAATTTCAGTAGCTTTTGTGGTACAAGTGGCTTTTGGTTATGCAAATGAATCGTATAGTAGTGAAGTCTAAGATTTCAGTGCACCTGCCACCTGAGTCTATACATTGTAGCCAATATGTCATTTTTTACCCCTCACCCACCTCCCACCCTCCCCTTGTGAGTCTCCTTTGTGTACTCTCAGCTTAGCTCCCACTTAGAAGTAAGAACATAAAGTATTAGGTTTTTCCAAAAACCGCATGATCTCACTCATAAGTGGGTGTTGAACAATGAGAACACATGGACATAGGGAGGGGAACATCACACACTGGGGCCTGTAGGGGGATAGGGGGCTATGGGAGGTAGCAGGGGGTGGGAGATAGGGGAAGGATAGCATTAGGAGAAATACCTAATGTAGATGATGGGGTAATGGATGCAGCAAACCACCATGGCATGTGTATACCTATGTAACAAACCTGCACAGTCTGCACATGTACCCCAGAACTTAAAGCATATATTTTAGAAAAAAGTATTAGGATTTTCATTTCTGAGTTAATTCACTTAAAATAGTGGCCTCCAGCTTCTGTCAAGTTGCTACAAAATACATTATTTTGTTCTTTTTTATGGCCGAGTAGTATTTCATGGTGTATATATACCACGTTTTCTTTTTTCACTCATTGGTTGAGATGGTTTGACCATGTCCCCACCCGAATCTCATCTTGAATCATACGTGTTGGGGGAGGGACAGTGGAAGACAATTAAATCATGGGGCCAGTTTCCTCATGCTTTTGTGGTGGCAGTGAATAAGTCTCGTGAGATCTGATGGTTTTATCAGGGGTTTCTGCTTTTGCTCCTTCTCATTGTGTCTTTGCCTGCTGCTGTCCATGTAAGACAGCTCTTGCTCCTCCTTGCCTTCCACCATGATTCTGAGGCTTCCCCAGCCACATGGAACTGTAAGTCCAGTTAAACCTCTTTCTTTTGTAAATTTCCCAGTCTTGGGTATGTCTTTATCAGCAGCACAAAAGCAGACTAATACAGCAAATTTGTACCAGTAGAGTGGGGTGCTGCTGAGAAAATACCCAAAAATGTGGAAGTGACTTTGGAACTGGATAGCAGGCAAAGGTTGGAACAGTTTGTAGGGCTCAGAGGACAGGAAAATGTGGGAAAGTTTGGAAGTTTCTAGAGACTTGTTGAATGGCTTTGCCCAAAATGCTGGTAGTGATATGGACAATAAGGTCCAAGCTGAGGTGGTCTCAGATGGAGATGAGGAACTTGTTAGGAACTGGAGCAAAGGTAACTTTTGTTATGTTTTAGCAAAGAGACTGGTGGAATTTTTCCCCTGCCCTAGAGATTTGTGGAACTTTGAACTTGAGAGATGTGATTTAGGGTCGCTGGTGGAAGAAATTTCACCAGCAAAGCATTCAGGAGGTGATTTGGGTGCTGTTAAAGGCATTCAGTTTTGAAAGGGAAACAGAGCATAAAAGGTTGGAAAATTTGCAGCCTGACAATGTGATAGAAAAGAAAATCCCATTTTCTGAGGAGAAATTCAAGCTGGCTGCAGAAATTTGTGTAAGTAATGAGGAGCCAAATGTTAATTGCCAAGACAATGGGGAAAATGTCTTTAATCCATGTCAGAGGTCTTCACTGTAGCCCCTTCCATCACAGACCCAGAGACCTAGGAGGAAAACGTGGTTTCATGGGTTGGGCCCAGGGTCCCTGTGCTATGTGCAGCCTAGGGACTTGGTGCCCTGCATCCCAGCCGCTCCAGCCATGGCTGAAAGGGGCCAATGTAGAGCTCATGCCATGTCTTCAGAGGGTGCAAGCCTTAAGCCTTAGTAGCTTCTATATGATGCCGAGCCTGCGGATGCACAGAAGTCAAGAATTGAAGTTTGGGAACTTCTGTCTAGATTTCAGATGTATGGAAACACCTGGATGCCAAGGCAGAAGTTTTTGCAGGGGCAAGGACCCCTTGGAGAACCTCTGCTAGGGCAGTGCAGAAGGGAAATGTGGGGTCTGAGTCCCTACTGGGGGCACTGCCTAGTGGAGTTGAGAAGAGGGCCTCCATTCTCTAGACCCAGAATGGTAGATCCACCTACAGCTTGCACTGTGAGACTGGAAAAGCTGCAGACCACACCAGCCTGTGAAAGCAGCCGGGAGGTAGGCTGTATCCTGCAAAGCCACAGGGACAGAGCTGCCTATGACCATGGGAACCCACCACTTGTGTCAGTGTGACCTGGATGTGAGACTTGGCATCCAAGGAGATCATTTTGGAGCTTTAAGATTTGGAGCACCACATTGGATTTCAGACTTGCATGGGGCCTCCAGCCCCTTTGTTTTGGCCAGTGCTTCCTATTTGGGATGGCTGTGTTTACCCAATACCTGTACCCCACTGTATCTAGGAAGTAACTAGCTTGCTTTTGATGATTGTGAGGCTTCTCCAGCCCCATGAAACTGTAAGGCTTATAGGCTGAAGGGACTTGGCTTGTCTCAGATGCGACACTGGGTTGTGGACTTTTGGGTTAACGCTGAAGTAAGTTAAGACTTTAGGGGACTGTTGGGAAGGCATGGTTAGTTTTGAAATGTGAGGACATGAGATTTAGACGGGCCAGGAGTGGAATGATATGGTTTCACTTTGCATCCCCACCCAAATCTAATCTTGAATTGTACTCCCGTAATTCCCACTGTGTGAGGGGCCTGGTGGGAGATAATTGAATCATATGGGCAGTTTCCCCCATACTGATCTCATGACAGTCAATAATTCTCATGAGATATGATGGTTTTATCAGGGGTTTCTGCTTTTGCGCCTTCTTCATTGTGTCTGCCTGCTGCCATTCATGTAAGACATGACTTGCCCCTCCTTGCCTTCAGCCATGATTGTGAGGCTTTCCCAGCCACATGGAGCTATAAGTCCAATTAAACCTCTTTCTTTTGTAAATTGCCC